AGGACGCCGGAACGATGTGAAGGCAAGGGGGCAGATTTTCGTGAAAGGGCACTTTTGAATTGATATATACTAAGAGATGTTTGCAAAACATCGGGAGTTGAACTTCGCCTAATCATGTTTTCTATTTATTGGATGATAGGGGTGTGAGGGGGTTCTCCGCCAGGCGATTGCGCTATTCTTGAAGCTCGATGACTGCATTTCTTGCGTTTTCTGAAGCAAATTCGTAAAAGAATTGCACTAACATTTCTGACAATTCGCTATTTCGCCAAGGCAATCCTTTAAATTGAAAGGGCACCTTTGCCCACCTTGCCCCTCCTGGTAAAGGGCAACGGGGGCGGCTGCCGCTCCTGCCCCCCCCCCCCCAGTTCCGGCGTCCCTGGTTGTATTCAGATCTTTTAAAACATGGCCGTAGGCTGGAATTGCTTTTACTGCAATATCGTTTATTTTATGTACTGGATTCAAATTAAGTATGAAACAATGATTAATACAATGAAATAATTATTTAAAGTCTATTACCAATATACCGTTTCAAAATTTCTCCCCACGCTAACTATAATTTTATAAATTACGTATTTTACAATGTTTAAAATCATAGAACAATAAATTACTGCTTAACTAATACCATTTCAATGTTTTAATGCAATACGATATAACTTATTATATTGGTTAAATTACGAATTTTACATTACTGTTTAAATTTATAAATTACTAGCTGGCTACAAAGTTTCGACATTGGGCTATAAATTAATATGTACACTGAAATTTTCATTTGTTTTGCTAATACTTACTCCACATCATTTAAGATGATTCTTAGTAAGTTGAAATGATAAACATGATGGAATTGCATGTTTTAATGAAATAAATCCTTACTAGCTGACATGAGAAACTAAAAAGTTCGTTATATAAATTGTCAGTTCACACGCAGGAAAAACAGAAATGTTCAGTCATGTCGAAAGTTGCATTGAGTCCGATATCATGTTCGAAACAAGCCACAAACTGTTCGGAAAGCGGTTCAGATTTTTTTCGTTTTAAGCTTGATAAATTTCGTCTTGGTCCATCTCATCTTGGTCCATCCCATTTTGGTCCATCCCATTTTGGTCAATCCCATCTTGGTCATTCTCATTTTGACCAGTTTCATCTTGGTTAATCTCATCTTGTATTTGAGCGAGAATATCCTGAACACATTTATCTAAATCGAGGCGGCCCTCATGAACCTCTAGATCTTCGCGATTCTCTAGTTCGTTGGTCAAGGAAAAAAGATAGTGCCAATCGTCCTTTTCCATCCAGATGACAGCTACATGTTCAATTTCCATCAACATTTTTATTCCAGCTACAGCATTCTGTCGCAGGGTCTCATCATCTGGGTCGTTTTCTGGTATTAGACTTAATCGACATGTGTTGGCTGCTTTAACGCACAAAGTTATCTCTGGTGGCAGTATGTCGTTAACGATGGTTGTAAGTGTTTCACAGCAGGCCGGAGTGTTTGCTGTTCCTAAAATACTTGTGGACTGGTTGCACGGCTGAAGCGTAAGGTACAAGGTTATAATCCCATTTGGGTTGTCTTCCACTATTTGTGCCAATACTCCATTTTCATTTTCTATGTCTTCTTTAAAGAATTCTTCGGCGTGTTTTTGCTCTTCGCCGCAGTTGGTGTATCTTGCTTCATACAGAATTTCTTCATTTTCATCTTCGAACTTTACAACAGCGACTACCGTTTTGGCTTGTACACGCCAGTTGTTTTCGTTCGTCGCTCTCTGGCCGATAATGCAATTTGTTTCATCAAGACAATAGTGCTCTCTAGTGCCCCATTCATGAACATGGTAGAAGGCACCGCAGAACTGACCATTCGATTCAAGGATTCTTTCATCTCCCACACGTTGTTTGATATGTCCATCTTCAGTGGGGTAAATTTCATGGCACTCACCGTTACAATTATTTTCAACCCCGTTCATCTTTCTGCTTGCGATTTCACTGCTGCTACCAAATTAATAAAATATACATTTCTGGTTAAGACCGCGGAAATATTTTGTGTTCTGCAGCCATGCAATAATTATGCTATCCTAAAATACAACATGATTTAAGTCTTGCAATGGCGTAACTCAAAATACCTCTTTTTTTAGAAACTCTTTTTTTAACCGAATTGTTTTTCTATGGAACAATCTCTCTCCGATCATTCGTAACAGTTCGTCTGTTTCATCCTTTAAGCTCCAGCTCCATTCTCACTACTCTTCTCAATTAGACTCTTCTTTCGATGTTAACAGAATGCGCACTTGGAAAACCTTCTGCTCTAAATGCCGTTCTTTCAACTTAAGCTGTTGCTCATAATAGCTGTTAATATGAGCTGTTGCTCATAAACTAGACTATTAATTTTTATATAGTTATGTAAATAATGTTCTAGTCCTTGTCTTTAATATATGTCTATGTTGTTTTGTATCAGGTTGGTCTTCACATGGGACTCATGTCCTGTTGACCATACCTTCAATCATTTTTATAATTTTTGTATGTTTGTAAAGTTAATGAATAAATAAATACGATATTGTGTTTATAGGGAAAACTGGAATTATATCCATGCATTGTTAGGTTTAAGGTAATTCCGCAGTTTTGTATTGCGCACTTTATTGCGCACATCTTATAACTTATAATTTTATCCATTATAATGCGTATTGTTTAAAAACAATATCTTTTTATGACAATTTTATGTTACTTCAAAACATCTTTGGTTACATTCGTGCAAAGAATTACGTTAAAATCAATGTTTTCAAAAAAGGCATACAAAGGTGTAGCTAGGGTTCCTGTGTCTGTAGTATATTTATTTACTTGTATTTCACGTTTTAATGCCACAATTCCCTAAAAAGATCGGTGACCCCCGTTTTTTAACCGATAATTTATTTCTTTAATGCATTTTACATTTCATATCCAAAATTAAAAGAAAAATCATTTCTGGATCTTGAAAAAAAAATGCTTTATCAATGCATGTTCTCAAAGAAAGATATGTAAAGAAATGTGCAAAAGACATTTGTGGATCAGAATTGTACACGTTAGTAGTTTCATTTTGCTCAAAACACAATATTTTTCAAAAATAATTACAAGATAGGTTTACTAAAGCAAAATCCGCGCTAAAAATGTCAATAAACATCGGGCTGTTGTGAGTTTTCTGTTACTTGTAATGAGCGTCAAGATGACGCCATATTGGGATAAAGGGGGTATATTGTGATTGTCATATCTTCTTAACGAGTTCGGTGACCCCATCTTTTTTG